GGGCTGCAGCTCAGCACCAGCCTCTTCAGGGACACGGGCAGCCCCCGCCGCCATCACCACCACCACCTCCAGCCTGCCGGCGAGAGCAGCGACCACGACTACGCCCTGCCCAGCTCCCGGCCCGCCGGCCTGGAGGAGGCGGCGGCGGTGGTGAGGGAGACGGAGGAGGAGTGGGCGGGCCCCGGCGGGATCTGCCTCCACGTGGACCGGGATCAGGTGTCGGTGGAGTTCTGCTCCATCTGTGCTCGGCGAGCAGCGGCCTCCTTCAAAATGTAGGGTCAAGTACCTGCTGCAAGTACTCGTGGGGTTCTCGCCCCTAGGGGCCTCGCGTCGCGGCGGAGGAAGCAGGCGATGGTGCGGAGGAAAAGAATAAATACAGTGGTGATGGGGTGGTATTGGGGGAGATGCAGAGGAGGGGAGCCTGGCACGTAAGTGGCCAGGGTAACAAAAAAAAAAATAAAATAATTAAATCTCGATCGGCACGTTGGGAGCCAGATGGTGGCCTTGGTTAAAGGTCATGTAAATCTGGCGTGTGGACGGTAGTGGTCTGAGCCTGTTTGGCGTAAGAGTCGTGCAAAGCTGTGTACAGCAGTGCGATAATTATCGTGCAAACTGACACGTGCGTATACACGCAGAGGTGCCGCCAGAGCCCGTTTGCAGCACTTGGGTGAAAAGATCATGCCGACCTGACGCATGAAGGTGTGCTCGGTTCTGCTTCGCAGTTGCCAGTAAAGATAACGTTGACTACCCGGTCTTGAGTCAGATAATGTCTAGCCTGCTTATCCTGAGGAGCCGAAAATGCTTGCTTAGAAAACCAAACCAAAAACTTCATTAAGACATCGTCACTGGACAGACTTAAGAAAATAGTAATGACCGGCAAAAGAAAGCATGCATATAAAATTGTACTGCATCTCAGTTATACATTACTATTAAAACCTCTCTGACAGTTTCTCTTTTAGGTGCTTGCCCTGCCAGGCTCCGTTGTGTAGGGGTTAAAGAACAGTCGTTTTCCACCTCGCAACCTGGTAAGGATCAATATATTCCCATAATGCGGTATCAGACAGCTTGCTTTGCTTAGACCAGTCTCCTGTAATGACTGGTTCAGGAAATGATTTCTCTGGTCCTTGGCCTACTCTGCCAAAATGTTTCTAGCTCTGGATGATAACTGATAGTGAAAATTACAATCATGTCATTCTAATTAGCTGTTTTCCTCTTTTCCTTTTATAAATGAATATGCACAGAGTAGCTGATACATGAGCTACATTTTATTTAAAAAGAAATGCTTCTGCCATTTGAAATAGGAGTTTTCTATTGAACTAAATAATCCGATGAGCTGAAAGGGGAAAAATGCTAATAAGGGGGATGTGACATGTACAGCCTTTTATCATAGGGGACTGTCCCAAAAGTGTAAGTAAATTGCTTTTTAAATGGAAAAAAAAGAATTTGTGACCTGTTGGTTTAATATACTGTCTAGTGTTAGGGATGCACGGTACCTTTAAAAAGTCCTTCTCTAGCTTGCTCTAATTCGCGATGCGGAGTTTTGCCCGATTAAACAGAACCTGAACACTGATTATATCTGTACAGTGGAATCCTAATGCAGAGGAGTCA